GACTAGCGTCCGCCATATTGTGTTGTAGTTAGTAGCGTTCGGTGTGATTCCCGCACAAACTGAAAGTGCCCGGCCAGACAACTTACTAATCAAATATTGCATACGTTCATGGTCAGATAAATCAGAGTTATCGTGAATCGTATTTTTAAATGATTCGTAGAACATAGGCCATTTAATGGGGTCACCTGAAAATCCTATCAAATCCAGTTTTGGCAATTTTACAGTTGGACTTTTATAGCAAGTATTTTTTGCATCCAAAGTATCTGACTTGATTGTTGTTGCCGCCGAAACAGATAACTTAGTTAAAGTGCGCTTACAGAAGCAATAAAGCTCGTCAAATGCATTAACGCTCTGATAATTAGGTTCAGAATCAGGCTTTAATTGAAGTTCAATATCAATAATTTGATCAGTAATTTCCCTAAAATCTGAACGTAAATTTTCTAAAGACTCACAACTAGCAAGAAATATTTCCGTAGATGATTCATCAGAAAATGCGTGCTTAGCCTCACTATAAATTTTTTGTAAGCGGGAAAACAAATTATTACGCTTTGCGTTATATTTTTTTAAGTCAATTTCCAACTTGTCATTTCCTTTTAAACCACTAGCACTACCAGGAGGCATTATAAAATATAATTGAAATAAAATTAGGCAAAAGAGTAAACGGCCAATTTAGGAACTGTCCGCAACAGAGCACAACGATAGAAGCAAGAATCACGTTCGGTGGCGTAGTAATAAATTTACAATCTACCTTTTATGTTATAAGATATAAAGTATATAAAGAAATACGAGTAAATATTATCCCTATTTAATTATAAAATACCAAAATACGTTATTTGAAGCGTACGCGATAGTATAAATTTATAAAATGGGTTCAATGAATGCGGCTCGAAGGCCAAAAATTATTTGGGCGCTAAACCTAGCAATAAGGTTCGTAGATTCTACCCAGCACTAATTTGGGTATCACCATAGGTAGTATAAGTTTACTTATCTGTTGAAGAGGAGATAGATATCCTACGGGAATCGCTGCACACTACTACCACGAAAGTAAAACAGCAACTCACCTTCAGCAACCGCACTGACCCGGCACTACCCGGGTAATGTCACTGCAGACTTCTTCCTCAGCCTCAACAGCCCACGACGATTTAGCGAGATAATGAAGGACCAGCCTCGGCTAATATCAGCCAAGACAGCGGATAATTAAGCGTTCACTTCACAACAGCGTATGTTTTAAGCACTGAAAAACACAGCACTATGTTCACAGCACGAGCGGTAGGTTCATAAAGAGTATAAACCCTAAGAATAGCAGTCTTTCGAATATAGAAAGTTCCAGAAAGCGGGAAAACCAGGATTAGCGAGTACGCATCTGGTTGAGTCGCCAGCAATTCGTAGACTGTAGAATGCAGCGATATATCGAGCGGTAACTCTTATAAACTAAAAGTGGGTAGAAAATGAAAAGTTAAATCTATGAACTATGAATGCCTAAGGTTGGCATGAACACGTGTATCGCAAAGATTTCGAGTGCAAAGTGGAAACAGTAGATAAAGTCGTAAAAGCATCGTGTGTGTTGCATAATTATTTAATTCAAACAGAAATTGATTACCTTAGTGGTTCTACTACAAGTGACACCTCAATATTTACTAATCTTAGTTACAACAATGACATATCAAATTTTGGAAGTTATCAAGTCAGAGATATATATTGCTCTTACTTCAATAACGAGGGAAGGGTGTCATGGCAAGACACTCGAATTTCATCTCGACTCGCTCAAAGAAATTAACATACCTCCTGAATGACAAATATTGCGTTAAAATAGTTGTTAACAACCTACCTACTACCGAAATACCTACATATGTATTTAAATAAAAGTGTGTATACCTACTGTCTTTAAAATTAGTTTCTTTCACAATTATCTCCCACGCTGCATCCCTTGTTTCATTACATTTGTACGTGTCTAACTTAGTATCCCAAAGGCAGGGGTATTTTTTGACCGCGTCTATTAGCTTTTCGTCCATTTTGTTTAATTCAGAAGCCGCCTTCTTCCTTAAACGTTACGAAATGAACTAAACGAGTCGCCGGCACGGCGCGGCAGGACGCGTGAGCGCCTCTCCCCTCACCGCGCCGCCGCCCCCGTCGTTTCCCTGCTATCGATACATAGCATAGCTCGAGATGCGCATCTTTCTCGCACAGCTACTTTGCGGCGGCGCATCTTCGTAGCGCATCTTCCTCGCACAGCTACCTAGCGTAGTATTGGTGGAAACGGTCACATATTTTCGTAGCGTTGATTTCACATCTTCGTAGCATAGCTGCATAGCACATCTCTGGTGGAAAAGCAGCCTAAGTCTGAAACTTATCTAAGCTTATATATTGCAGAACACTCCTCCAATAACAGTGTTGACCACCTTACAGATTTGTGCAAACAAATTTTTAGTTGTGAATGCGTCAAAGGAGGAGCAAAAGAAATGAAGATGCATCGTACTAAATGTACCCATGTTATAACCGAAGTTTTGAGTCCATATTTTAAAGATCTGCTGGTCAAAGATATTGGCACAAATCCGTACAGCCTGATTATTGATGAATCCACGGATGTATCTGTCACAAAACAGTTAGGAGTAGTTATAAAATATCGTGATGGTAGGGATAAACAATGGAGTGTTTAAGATTCTCAAAGAGGAGTACAATCTTCCCCATTTAATTTTGAATAGATGCGTATGCCACTCTATACAACTAGCTGTTTCGCATGCTTCCTAAGAGACTATACCAAGAAATATTGAGTTTTTAATAAGAGAGACCAAGAATTGGTTTTGTCTATCCCCATCAAGACAAGATGCATACAAAGAAGTATATGAAACAATTAACCCTTAACCACTGACCATTATATACTTTCATTAACACTGACGTACGTCACTCTGACATAGCCTTTGTTATGATTATATTAATATTTATTTATTTAGCATAAAGGGTACCAAATTAATAAAAAAACACGTTATTTATATTGTAAATATTTACTTAAACTCAAAATACAGAACTTGAAACAGCGTTGATTGTTGAAACAATCAACGCAAATAAAAAACACCTTCTTTCGTAACGGCTCAAAAACTTAAATTATCAGTCTAAAATGATCACAGAGCTGATAGTATCTTAATATCTAGATAGTACTCATTAATTAAAAAACAAATAAATGGCATATTATTAGGAACTAAACACGTTTTAACGGCATGCGTTACAAGCCGGTTTTGAACACTGCAAACATACGGGTTTCTTACAAACATGACATACGACCAAGGTTTTTCTATGTTTTTGTTTATAACATAAATGACAGTTCTTACGGACGTTGAGCCGACAATTTTCAGATTCTTCCTCTGTTCGAGGTATCGCAGCTGTACCCAAAATGCGTGTGAGTAGCCCTTTGAGTTCCAAGGAAAGTTGTGGAATTATTATGCGTCTTTCGAGTTGCCCACGAACTAAACTTTTTGGAGCATTTTTCATGAAAATTAGTCGGTCTTCTGCTTTGTAGTTTGACAGAATGAAGGCATTTACACTTTCATTAACATGTTTTTCAGTACGCAACAAACCTCAATAGATGAGAAATAGTTATCTGCAGTGATGTTACGATTGGTATTCTGGATCGGTTTCGACAAACGTACAACACATTGACTCGGTAAAACAATTTCTTTTCCGTTTCAGAGAGACCCAAGCCATCACTATTCATTCCAGTATATAAATAAGCATTATACAAATATCCTGTTCTTCCGTCAGTCAAACATTTTATCTCTAACCCGTACTTGCATGGTTTGTTTGGCATATATTTCTTCCAACGACACCGTCCTCTAAATGATACAAGCATTTCGTCAATTGTTGTATTATCACACAACCTATAATATTTTTGACAGTTGCAAACGAATATTTCAAATATTTCGGATACAGCTGCAGCTACGTTAGCCAATTTTCTTTCATCTCTAGTTGAAAAGTCATCGAACCGAAGAGCGATCAAAATCATTTGAAATCTTTCTTTAGACATTACTGCTCTAAAAATGTCTCTTCCTGTACCATCAGTTGCAAATATGGCATTCACATCTTCATCATTTGATTTGAAAGCTGCACTGAACAACAACAACCCTAAAAAAGCATCAAATTCAATCTCATCTATATCTCTCAATTCAGGTTTGTTTGTCCTTTTATATTTCTGCCTCAATATTACGAGTTTTTCGTTTGTGTGGCGTATAATTTTGTTTTTTATATTTGGACTAAGAAACAAATTGAATAAACTTACTGGTTCACTTTCTGCCGGACGTTTACATTAGCCATTGGTATTACAATGTTATGAGCGGGTGTACGTCGATTTCTAGACGGAGGGTCTTTTGCCCACTTCATACATCTTCGTTTTCCGTAATAATATTTTCTTGCGGGTTCCTGTGATGTCGTAGGTTCATCAATGTCTGAGTAAGGAATGGCTTCTTCTATTCCCGTTTCACTAGGTAGTTCTGCTAAGGGAATATTGTCATCGCTATCCGTCGAGGAGTCTACTTCAGGCTCCTGTGGCAGAATGTCATCCTCATCAGCTGAAGAATCATCAGACTCCGAAAAGGCAAGGGTGTCCATGACGAAGCTCTCAAATCGTTGATCAGTCACGTTGATTCGAGGCTGTTTACTCGAAGTCGGGCATTGAGTATCCAAATGACGTTTATTCGAAGCCATTTTAACACTAAAACAAGAATAATTAAAAAAATTAAAACTTACATTTACTCTGACGCTACGTCCCACAGACGTCAGGACGACTATACTTACCTAATCAAGGCGCACCACACGACCGCTCACACCCGCTGCGACTCGACCGCTCGACCGCTCACACTCACTGGGTCTTAGGAAGGTACAGGAAAGGACAAGTCCGTGCGCGTTTGGTGTAAAATGATATGACCACTTTAATTGTGCATTCACGTCTCTCAGACGTACGTCAGTGGTTAAGGGTTAATGTGGGTGAAAAACCGCTGAAAATTTTAAAGATGTGTGCTACTCGTTGGATTTCTATTGAACCAGCAATAGCTCGCATTCTTGCTCAATGGGATGAACTCAAACTACACTTTCAATTGACACAGAGGGCGGAAAATTGTTATACAGCCACATTGCTTTATTCGATGTTCCAAGATCAGAGGAATAAATTGTATTTAATCTACTTAAAATCAGTGCTTAGCGAAGTCCAACAAACATTAAAAATATTTGAAAGCAAGGGCGCAGACCCAGTACTTCTACTAGATACGCTAAAAAAGCTTATTGAAAGTTTGTGTCGTAAAATTATCAATTCGAATTCCAGAGTAGAATATTATGTTGAAAGAGTAAACGACTACGTTGATCCAAACCCGTATATGGGATATTCATTTGAGGATGCCTTGAGTAAATCAACACTGGAAAACGCTGAAAAGAAAGCGCTCAAACAAAGATGCATTGATTTTACATTAAAATTAATAAGCGAACTGCAGCAGCGCCTACCAGATAATTTCAAAAATTTAGAGACAATGACTGCTCTTTCTGTTAAAGAGACACTTACACGAAACAAACCTGTACAACGCATCGTTCACCTTGGAGAAGCATTTTGTCTGATACCAGAAGATATTGATATAATTCTAGTACAATATAGAAATATCGGAGAACACGACTGGGAGAACAAAGACGACACCATTAAATTTTGGTGCGAAGTTCTCAAATACAAGGATGCTGCTGGAAACAACTTGTATCAAGAGCATGGAAAGTTAGCAAAAATATTTTTGTCATTGCCCCATTCGTACGCGTACATCTGCGTAGATGTCGAACGCGTTTTCAGTTCTATGAACATAATTAAAACTAAAAACAGAAATAAAATGGGGTTAAAAACAATGACATCCATACTACATATACGATGGGGTTTGAAACGATTGAAAGAGTCTTGCTGTTCCCACAAGGTGCCAACTGAAATAATAAAAAAGTGTGGGAGTAGTTTGAAATACTCGTTCAAATTGGCTAAGAACACAGATGTCAATCAGCCATCAACTTCCTCTGCTTCGGCAGATATGATTTTGGAAAATTCCGATGCGGACTCTGATTTTTAACAATTTCATAACCAACTTAATTATAATTTGATTTTTCTGAAATTAATACGTTTCGAATAAACAATTTTTAACCCTTTGCATTGGTGTTTATGTTTTTTCCCTTTCTAGCACCTCTTTTGATTGCATTTTCTTAATCTAGCTCTTTCTAGCTTGTCCGACTGCTGTTTTTCAGAAACCAAGGTGGCAACACTACTTCCGCACACGCATTTAGCAGCGGCACGCTGCACAGTGTACACAGGAGTCAACGATACAGCGAAAATGCGTGACGACATTGACTTTAATATAAAATTTTGCGAGTTAGTAGAAAGTCACCCGGAACTTTATGACTATAATCGATCAAATTATAGTAACCGAAGTGTTCAAGATAAAGCATGGGAATTAAAAGCAAAAGAATTAAACGAGTCAGGTAAGATAATCTGGATTTATTTCACTTTACACATTATGACGATTTCGATATGGAATAGGGGCTCGATTCACGAAGTAGCTAGTAAGATATTGTCTGATATTTTTCGGAGTTCCTTCATTTAACTGTTCGTTCAAACTAACTCCTACTAGGGTATTTTGAATAAGTGGCTGTGACATTTTTCCACCAATTTTTCGGACTACATTGTGCAATATGCACATTGCTTGAATAATAGTATCAACATTTGATGGATCGCAGCATACAACTGTACTTAGTGCTTGGAATTTAGTTCTTGTCATGCCAAATGTACATTCCACAGATTTAAGCCCCCTTGATAATCTATTATTAAAAATTCTTCTGTCATCTGTCAATTCATTGCGTTTATAAGGTGTCATTACATTCTATAAAAGGGGGAATGCCTGCTATATGGTCTGCCACGAAATAATACGGTAAATTCTCCGTTTCTCCAGGCAATGGAGCAGGGTTAGGTAAAACAAGATGGTCAGATTGCAGACATTGTCCAAAATTACTGACTTGAAATGCACGTCCATCACTATTTCGGCCTAATTCACCAACATCTATACATGAAAATAGTCCGTCAGCATCTACTACTGCCATTAATACAATAGAAAAATATCCTTAATAATTGATATATTCTGACTCTTGAGTTTGGTGGTTTTCTAATTCGAATGTGTTTTCCATCTACACTTCCAACACAATTTGGTAAATTCCATAGTGTATAATACCGATGAGCATTTTCAATCCATTTGTCCATATTTGGTTGTGGCATATATTCCGGTTGCAATTATTGTATTTTTTCAAATAATATACTGCTTTTGTATTTATAGGTGTACGTTATTTTATGATTAATAGCTATATTTAAAATTTCAGCAATAGACTGCAAGGAACGATGGAAGAATATCCGCGGAAGATATGCAAAAGTAATGAAATCACAAGTTCTGCCATCGGGATCAGCAACAACCAAAATCAAGGAATATTATTTGGGGCCACATTTACGATTCTTGAACAATTTTATGAAATCTCGACCTCCTAAAAGTAATATTAAGGCACCGGAAGAGTCAAACACATTCCACGATGATGAAAATATAGCCTCTGGTAATGAGTCAAATAGTTTAATTCCAAAACCTACATTGAGCTCTTCTGCTTCACCAGGAACAGATTATAATATGCCATCAAGTTCAGCCACACCAGTAAATAAAAAGCCAGCTACACTAAAAGAAGTTCTTCAAGCGGCCTACGATTTTTACTCTGCGAAAAAACAGAAATTAAATAAGAAAACTGATACTCATCCAACAGATTCAGAATTAGATCTTTGTTTCCTCAAAAGTGTGTTGCCCGACATGATGGCCAAGACTCCGCAGCAAAAACGGCGATTTAAAATCGGGGTACTGAATTTGGCGGGTGATATTTTGGCAATGAACGAGAATACTACAACTACCAGCGCAGGATGTGAGTCGCCATTCGGTAGACCGTATTCTGGAAGTAGCACATACTCCAATAGTTGCACGCCAATTAATACCACTGTTCAACAAGATAATACAACTAATCAAGACGAAAATATAGACACACCGGCGACAGAAACTCAAAATTTTTATTTGCCCCCACAATATTTAGCTATTAGCTCAATCTCTTCTCAGCCAACACAAAACAACGATGATTTGGATTTGTTTAGATTATAAAACTGTAAAAATGTAGTTCATTCTATTCCTAATTAATAAGTATTGGTTAATTAAACATTGACATTAGTACACTTTACTATAAATAATTATAGGTCTTGAATTAATAAAAAATCTTGAAGTCAGATTATTTATTTTATTAACAACATTAAGGGACTTCTAAGGACCAACGACCTTGACGCTTAAAAAATATTTTGTGTTTATGAATTTTTGCCATGGTACTAAGGTATTTTTAAGAGGTACACGAAATTAATATAAAAACTACTGCCGTTTCCTCGTGGTCCTACTATTTTGTCCCACTAGTAGGACCACGAGGATATCGTTTTCCTCGTGGTAGAAGTAGACTTTTTTTTTCATTATATTAATTTGTTGAGTAAATAGTTATATTGCGAAGCACCGAGACATAAATGATTGAGATAATTTTTCCAGTTGTTGGTCACTTATTTATACCACCTGACCGAGTATTTGCAAAGATAGAGCGTGAACTAAAAAAGCAAAAAGTTATAACTGCTCCAGCGTAGTATGTATCAGTACTCGAAGAACATGGAAGTGTCACTGAACTTTCTCGTATCCCAGTATATGATTGGAAATCTAGTTACGGACCAATAAGAAAACCCACCACTGCTTGGAACTTTCCGTTTATGAAATGTAAACGGTTCTTTTTGACCCGAAAAAAAAACGATAATATTTTTGTTCAAGGCGAGGTAAATTAATAAGTTGAACTGAATAATAAAACTACAGTTACCAAGAAAAATAAGAAAGTACAATGTTAAAACCAACAACAATCCCACCACATATTATTATCCCAAAACAATCCAAAGAACTGGATGTAATTAAACTATTTGAAAAGCACTTTGGGAATGAATGGCAAAACCTGCCTGACTTAATTTTTTATAAAAATATTCAGGACACACAGACACATCAGAATTATTGTTTCGAAGATGGTGCTGTTGATGAAGAAAATATGTGTGAGCATGCTGGGGAAGAAGTTAATTTGCAAGTTTAAATGTACCTATGATTTTTTAATAATTAATGTTTCATTAAAAATTACTTTGTTTGTTATTATGGGTTTGTACCAGTTAGTACCAAAAAAAAATATTTTAACAAGCCTTAATTTTAACATTTACATTATTGTTTATAAAGCATAAATTAAAAATGTATGATGCTTACTTTAATTGAACTGGAGGCCAATCGCGCTAAATGTCGAAACGACTTAAACGCATTGAACCGTAAATGAACCGCAACTTTTTATGACATTTCATATAGCGCTAAAGTTTTGATAGCTACTTGAGTTGTAAATGTATCACGATTGGACCGCAATCCAGTAAACTTCAGTCAAAAACATAAAGTAGATTAAACCCAACTATTTGTGGACCATTTCTGTATATAGTTTTGTTTTTTAAGAAAAATGCTTGATGCATGTATTGATTTCATCGAAAGGGCTCATGAATATGATGTTGCATTGTCTCGAGTACGAGCAAAATTAAGAAATTCTCGAGCAAGAATAAGAAATAGGGCATATAACATGAGCGATATGCAATTTATTAAAAGGTACCGCCTGTCGAATAATCTTTTTCACAATTTAGTTTCTGAAATAACACCATATACCTATGACACAAACTTTGCGTTCGGACGCTTTAGATATTGAAACTTAGGTAAGCATAAAAATTTTGTGAGGATCCTATAACTTTCTACTTGGAAACCACGTTTCTTATACATTTAACTGTGCAACAGCTAAATTTTTTTTTATTACATGATAGATTTTGGTAGCATTGGCATTTTTTTGCTACCGGTTCCTACCAGACCATAGTTGGAGACAGCAGGAGGCATTGTGTATCTCAATCCAGCGTTTCGCAGGCTGTAAAGCAAGTTACAATGGCCTTAAATAATAGAAATATTCTTAATAAATTTATTTCTTTCCCCTTGCGTCTGCATGAGCGAGAACAATTAAAAAGAGAGTAAGTGATTAACAATAAATTGTGATAGTAATTACTCAATTTTGTATTATGTTGTTTAAATTTAATTCTTATCTCAGGTTTTACAGAAAATTTAGAATGCCTGGTTTGATGGCTTGCATTGATGGCACACACGTGGCAATTTTAAAACCTAATAAACATGAGGAGAGGTTTTACAATCGAAAAGGATATCACTCATTAAATGTTTCGATTGTAAGTAACTTTATTTATGAGATTAAGATTTGGTTTCCTTTCTATTTCATAGATAATAAGAACATTTTTTTTATTTACAGATATGTGATTCCAACCTTAATATTATAAGTGTAGATGCAAGTTATCCTGGTGCTACACATGATAGTGTTGTTTGGGCTAATCACCCTAAGTGGCTTATTTAGTAAAAATTCACACCATATCTGGAGAGGATTTATATCTCTTGGGTAGGTATTTTCTGATTATAAATAATAAATTCCAGACAACCCAAGGAAAAAACAATAAACAGTCCCAAAATAAAAATTGGGGTTTTTACTATGGAAACTAAATAATGTTTATAATATAAACTATATAAGAATTTATTTTTACATCCATGATGCAGAAATACATATTTGTGCTCATCACAGTAACAAAACAACCCTACTAGTGTTTAGAATCCAGTATCTGCGGTGATGAAGGCTATATAATCACTACTGTTGCAACAACTGGCCATTATATACCTATCTAAGTAATGTTACTTATAAAAATCTTCAATTAATTTTCAGGAGACAGTTGATATCCAATAAGAACTACTATGATGGTACCACTATTAAACCCTCAACCAAATTCTCCTGAGGAACACTATCAAAAACTACATTTAAGTGCGAGAAACACTGTTGAGTTTTGTATAGGAGTTCTAAAAGCCCGTTTCAGGTATTCTATTTTAACTATAATAATCACTGTCAATTTAACTGCAATAAAAACTATTTATAGGGTCATGCTGTCTTAAAGGGTTGGCAGCGCATCAAGGTGTAAGTGATCCAAGACAGATAAATACCTATAAGGTGGCTTAATAATAAAATTACCCGCCAGAACTGCATGAACAAAATAATAGATATAAAATATACATATCACATGAAGTAAGTGTGCTATCCAACAAGCATTTTTACTGTATGTAGTGGGTACTGGGTTGGTAATAGTACAACAAACTGCTGAAACTAAACTGTTTTTAAAAGAATTAAAAAAAAACAGTTCTGTTTGACCTGTATGTAAGTTTGTCCTTGATTATTTAAAAAACTACTAATCCGATTTGGATGAGGTTTTCGGTATATAAATGCGTATTTATCAGGGAAGGTTTTAGTATATAATATACTAGCAGTGTCCCAAATATCCAACCTGTAGTATATTCTGTAACACACTTAACATAGAAAAATAAATATTGTTTTAAATTTCATGGTCAGCTAATCGGAAACTTGCTAAAAACAAGGTACATTGCAACAAACACAAATATGTATAAAATATTATATTACCATAAAGTATTTTTTAATAAAAATAGAACTGTAAGCGCATATTTTTTAATTAATTTACTTTCTCTTACTTTTGTTACCGTTGTCATTTTTTCTGATAAATTTTGCTTTAAAAATATTTATGTAATTAAAATAATTTAACACTAAAATAATTCGCACAAGCGCGGACGGGTGCGCGCGCTACTATAGCAAAACGATGCGCACTTGACCGTTTCTGTTGTCTCGATCTTTTGTTCTCCACATTCCTGCGCCGCGGCGCCGGTGCAGCACACATTCATATTTCGTGCGCCGGGCCAGTGCATTTATCGATCCCGCGGTGAATGCATGTCCGTCTTCGCTCTGCCCCCGACTTACGCGCTATCGCAATTAGGGTGGTATAGCCGGTTCCCAGGTAGCACAAACCTTCTGAGTAAGTTTTTTTTAACAGCAGTCATAGAAACTAGTTGCTGAATAAGACTACCGTAATTAGCTGATTTGGCGCTTACTCAGACGCTTATTCAAGCAGTTTGGGCACAAAATCATACTGCTAATAGCTGTGTAATAGCAATGAAACAGATGAATAAGTTTTGAATAATTGTACGACAAGCTGAGTATCTTCTGACTAAAAGTATTTTGTTCTTTTATACAAGTATTACAGCTCTGTTATCCAGACGATGAATGAATGATGAATGAACGATGCTTGTATGAAAGCTCAGATATTCAGATGATACACAGCGTTTAGCTTATTTCAGAATATTTTATCAAGAAGTTTTTCAAATTAAATTAAAGTTGACAAATAATATTATCCGAGCACAATGACGCGTTTGTTTGGTAGTGAGCGACAGCAGAAATATAAATGGCCGACGAGAAGCTAGCGGTAAGTAAATAATTTTACCCTTATTTAATGCTTTTAATACTGCAATGCAACTTTACCGTGTATTTATACATACATTTCATGTAAAATTTTCACGCGCTACCTGATAAGCCGGGATTTTGAGAAATAAACAACATTTCGTCTGCTGGTTTGTTTTTACGGGTGCAATATTTTTTGTGTTGTATACAACTTAAGGGTTCAAAAATAACCTTGTAATACTTTTTACAAGAATATTATACCGATTTCATTATTATAATTGAGTATTCGAGTATAAAATTTCTCACCATTTAATAAATTTGTTATTCATTATGGCGACGCTTATTCTGAATAAAATCTGCTTGCACAACGGCTTCTCGTCTAATGTCTGCATAACAGACCTTATCTGTCCACTTATTCAGTTGTTCTCTGGTTAAAAGCGGTCTGCACACAACATATTTTCGGTAACTGTTCTATAATCACACACACTCGTACTAGAAATCAAACAATTAGGATTCAGTCATAAATAAATGAAAACCCATAGTATAATGTACCTATTTGTTATTTTTAGCTCTAATCAAATTCAGATATTATTATTTTTATTAATATTTATTTTAGCAATACTTATTCAATATAAAAAAGTGTTACGACACGAAAAATTACAACTAACGAAAATAATGTAGTACAGAATAAATAAGTATAGTAGATTTTTTTTTTTTTTTTTATAGATAGGTCCGACAAATGAGTCCACCCCACCTGATGTTAAGTGAAGGTGAAGTCCAGACGTGACGATAGCTGATACAGCAGTTTTACCTGCCACACCAGCCATCCTCACCCTGCCGGCCTGCATGTTGCTTCTTCACGCCTCTTTTAAAGGATCCCAGGTTGTAAGAGGGAGGGAACACGTGAGCGGGCAGAGCATTCCATTTACGGATAGTGCGACAAAGAAATGAGTCACCAAATTTCTTTGTACGCGTTGGAATTGTGGCCACAGTTAGACGATGACAACGTAGGCCAGCGCGCGTGGTCCTCTGAAGGAAAGGAGAAGGTGGGATAAGAGAGAATAACTCCTCAGAACACTCGCCGTGATACAGACGATAGAACGCGCTTAGTGACGCCACGTCACGGCGTAATTGAAGAGGCTCAAGGTGTTTAGTCACCTCCTCATCGCCTATGATGCGGATCGCTCGTCGCTGTAACCTATCCAAAGCATCGAGCAAGTACTTGGCGGAGCCATCCCAGAGGTGCGAGCAATATTCCACGCAGGACCGCACTTGCGTTTTGTACAACAGGCACAGTTGATCGGGCGTGAAAAAACGCCGCACCTTGTTCAGGACTCCGAGTTTGCGTGAAGCTGTTTTGATCACGGTTTCGATGTAGTTCTTTGGATTCAGGTCTGAGCGAACTTCCATACCGAGCATGGAAATGTTGCTCTGCAGCGGTAGTGTTGTGCCCTGAAGAGATGGAAGGGGAAGGAATGACGATGTTTTTGCCGTGAAAGCGCAAGCCTGAGTTTTTTTGGCATTGAACTCAACCAAGTTCCTGGTACCCCATTCGGAAATGTGGTCCAAAGCCTGATTGAGTTCAATGACAAGATTCTCGCGTTTCTCCTTGGTTACCGCCAGCCCAGCCGCTGCATGTCCGAGATACCCCGCATGCACTGTACTATCGTCTGCATAGCAATGAATATTCCCAAGAGGAATTAAGTCATTGATATGCAGCAGAAAGAGAGTGGGGGATAGGACGGAGCCCTGGGGAACGCCGGCATTCACTGACATGAACCGCGAACTGCTACCATCCGTAAGGACACGAATTCTACGCTCATGCAGGAAGTCAGCTACCCAAGAACAGAACTGGGCTGGCAGACCGTATGCCGGAAGCTTGGAGAGAAGGCTTTTGTGCCAGACCCTGTCAAACGCCTTGGCAATGTCAAGGCTGATAGCCAACGACTCGCCACGCTTGTCGATAGCCTCACCCCAGATATGAGTTAAGTACGCTAGAAGATCACCCGTCGATCGTTTCGGTCTAAAACCATATTGACGATCATTAATCAAGGAGTGATCCTCTAGGTAGCGGGTAAGATGGTTATTAAGGACCTTTTCTAAAACTTTACATAAAACTGAGGTGACTGCTATTGGCCGGTAGTTTGCCGGGTCTGAGCGATCCCCTTTTTTGGGCACCGGTTGCACATTGGCATCTCTCCAAGTCTCCGGCACACGCCCCAAAGAATACGAGCATTGGTACAAGCGCGTGAGCACGGGAGACAACTCCGCTGCACATTTTTTGAGTACTACTGCTGGGATGCCATCAGGTCCACTAGCTTTCCGGACGTCGAGTGATTGCAATTCGGCACGAACCTCGCGCTGCCTGATTTTAATATCAGGCATCGTTGTGCCACAGTGAGGTAATGATGGTGGCAGTGCATTGCAATCATCGATTCGGGAGTTAGCCGCAAAGAGTTTTGCCAGTAAATCGGCTTTCTCCTGCGGCTTATGGGCTAGTGTTCCGTCTGGGCATCTCAGAGGTGGCAGCGAGGGCTCGCAGAAGTTTTTTTGCACGGCGTTGGCCAAACGCCAGTAGCTACGGGAGCCCGTAGGATGCGTCATAAGTTCCTGGCCAACACGTGCAACGCGCTGGGCATCCGCTCTAATGTAAGCCTTCTTACAGGCCTTGGAAGCAAAATTGTAGGCTGCTTTGAGTAAATCGACCTCGGGATCCTTGAGAGCGCGCCCTCTGATCCAAGCACGATATGCCGCTTGCTTACGCGAAGCAGCTTCAGCACAGTCGTGATTGAACCAGAGGTTACGCGTGCCCTTACTGATGAGATCAGAATGAGGAATATAGTATTCCATACCCATTATAATCTCCTCAGTAATGGCAACGGCACTGGCCGATAGGTCCCTGTCACTGAAGCAGCGCTGCTTCCAGGGGACGGACGCAAAGTAGTCACGCATACCGTCCCAATCTGCCGACCCATAATGCCAGATACGGCGCTTGACCACTGCTGGACGCGGAGGCTTGGCCTGTGGTGCTTTGGCAGATATCAGGCAGTGGTCTGACGAGCCCAGGGGGGCTCTTACCACAACCTGATAGCCCTGTGGATGGGTCGTGAGCAGAAGGTCCAGTAAAGAAGGCGCTTGACTTGGAATATCTGGGATCCTGGTGGGCTGATCAACCAGTTGCTTCAAGTCATGCGTGAGCAGAGATCCCTGCATGGTCAGTTTTGGAGGAACTTAACCACAAATTGTGGTGAGCATTAAAGTCCCCCAAAAACACCAATTCTGCATTGGGAAATTGTTCCTGCGCGTCATCTGCTGCCCGACTAAGGTGTTCAAAAAGTCGAGTTGTCTCAACATCGCCGGTGTGGGATCTGTAGAGACACACGTAAACTCTGGCCAGGGGGCCAGAGTCGACGTGTACCCCCAGCATGGAGAAGGAGGGATCTTCCAAGCAGCGGAGACGGCGACAACAAACATCCGCCCGAACATACAGGCATACACCGGCTTTCGCTTTGAAGGACTCTTCAAGCACGTAGCCGGGATAATTAAGGTAGCCTGTTTCAGCAGGCGGAAGTATTTGTGTCTCCGTCAGGAACAACAATGCTGGCCGTGCTGTCTCAAGATGGTGGTGGACAGCGTTGAGGTTAGAGTGGAGTCCGCGTATGTTGCAGAACTCGACCTCAAACAGCGTTGAAGGCGTGGGGGTGTGCACCGCTGAACGTCCAAACTTTGTTTTAGGAGCTGCCATTATGGAAGTGAAAAAGAGACGTGAAACGAGTGGACGTTGTCGCGACAAGACCGGGAAAATTAGGGAGGCATGTTTCCCCGAATGATTGCCTGCAGAGGATATACGCCGACCCGCCGGACGGAAGGGCCCCCGCACCCCCCCGGAAGTGGCCGCCGGGACCCCACGCCCCGGTCACCAACCGGCACGACGGTCCACCCCGAGATTATGCGTGACATGATGGGGCAGCCTCGCGAACTGGTTAGGAACGCTCGGGCCCCTGTACTGTGCCACGGGCGGCCAGCGGGACAGCCGTTTCTACGGGTCTCCCTGGCCGGCGGGTCGATGCAGTCCTCCCGGCATCGGTTCCACGGATGCCTAGCCCTGGACCGAATCCGTCGCGACAACCTCCACTCGAGCCCTGGTTGTACGCTGGCTGACCCCGAAACGCGCGAGAAGCACTTCACGGGTTTTTCACCATGCGCACGGTGGTAACAAACCAGGCGGGTGTTAGGCACCCTACCACCAGCAGAGCGGATGGAAGCTCCGATATCCCTTAGTCGCCTCTTACGACACCCACGGGAAGAGAAGGGGCGGTGAGTTGTATTCTTTCTCCGTCACCGCACGAAATAAAATTAAGATTTTAACTACTTACTACACCACCTTGTAGTGTTTAGGTACTCTCCTCGGTTCGGTTGGTGCGGGCGCGCAGCTAGTGTCTCATAACCCCCCCGCTTCCCCACTCGCTCCACCGACGCAATAGTCAGTCAGTCAGTACATCAGTACTCAGTCTGCTACCAGAGTGCATGCGCACGGCCGTTTGTGGAGTATAGCAGATAGTTGTCGCGTTAGTAAGTCAGTTACAGAGAAGAGAGACACGGTTTAAAAAGTTGATAAGTGGCAGACATAGGTAGGTTGTTTGAGCCGCTGCGCAACTAATGTAGGTAGGTAGATATAAGTTGTGTCTTGCAAAAAATATTTAGGTTATTTCAGGTGGCCAGATGTACTTACGGCAAGTACGTACTTATTAGGATTTTTGATATTTTTCAGAGAACATGCCGTTTAAAATTGTGTCTACTCGTCGAAAAGGCAAGTTAGAACTATGTACTGTGCCAGAAACATGGGAAGTCAAAGGAACATTGCGTTGGCCTAAGATGTACGGTGATATACTCGCAAAAAATGATAGTACCCAGCCCCAGACAGATTGGTTGACCTATAATTGTGTAGTGAAAAGAAGAAACTACCATACATACGAAGAAGCAGAGGCTGAATTAGAAAAAATGTTAGAAAAAACAGACACGGACGATACCGATTACAGTGAACAATCCTACAAACGTACTACTGCTCCACAAAAAGTTCCAAATTTGAATGCTGCAGCTCAACGAATAATGGTAAATTAATACCTACCTATTTATTGAAAACTCCATATCCACATACATTGTCATTTTATACATTATATTGTTAGTTCAAGTAAACATATGAATAACAAACTAAGAAAATTGAAACTGTATCTAGCTGGCGGCCGCGTTACCCATTGTTTTAAGCAATTATCAGAATAATATAAAAACAAATAATTTACAGTTGATTTTTCTAGAATAATTCGAAAAGGTTTTTATGCATTGTTGCAGATAAAGTCTGGGAACCCAAAGAAAAGAATGAAACAACCAACTTCAACCATTCAAGCGAGTCAAATCATACAAGAAAGTCCAACCACACAAGGAGGTCCAATCACACAAGCAGGTCCAACCACACAAGCAGGTCCAATCACACAAGCAAGTCCAACCATACCAGCAAGTCAAACCATACAAGCAGGTCCATTCACACAAGCAGATCCAACGATACAAATATTTCCAGAAACGTCAATTCTGACCAACCAGCAGCACTCCTATACTATTGATGAAGCTGTTTATACAGTATCTACCGAAGAGCAAGAAAATATGCCTCAAGAAGTACACTATTATACCAATAATCAAAATATGACAACCTATATTAATAATTTATACGAGATACAAACTGCAATTTTGGACAACCAAAATAAAATAATGAAAAAGCTTGGGGAAATGTCGGTTCAGTTACAAGAAATACAGGATCAGAGCACAGAAAATATTACAGTAACAACTTTAGCTCAAGCTAAAGGAGCAGAAACTAAAAGAATGCGTATGGATGTTGTCGATAACATCGAAAGCTTGGAGAAACTCGACAAAGAACTGTCATGTCCTAAAATACTTAAAACATACTTAGAAAAGTATGCAATATTATGTTCTGCGGCGCCAGGATCTGGTTCTAACTATGCTTATAGACTTTTAGATTCAATTTTTACCAAGGACTTTCTTTGCCAGTGTTCCTGGACTGGAGGAAGTCGTGGAGATGATCTTAAAATAGGCTTCAAAAAATATAAAAACATATTAAATTTCTTCTTCCAAATGGTTAATTATTGGGACAACACGTACACAGTGCAAGATAACGAAGATTTTTTTAAAAGCATATTGAGAAATGCTTTAAAAAGGAAGACATCCAAAAAAATTCGTCAGTCGAGCAAGAAAAGAAGGAAATTACAACCCAAAAGAGTCGGTGAAAACAATACTAATAATGACGGTGAAAACAATACTGATAATGACGGTGAAAACAATACTAATAATGACGGTGAAAACAATACTAATAATGATGGTGAAGCAAATATAAATGATGATGGTAACCATAATCCCAATGACGAAAAATGCTGATAATGATGGTATTAATAATACAGAAAATGATGGAGAAAATAATCCAAGTAATGAAAACGAAGCCATAGTTGAAGAGGATCCATAGAGGTCTTGTTATTTTTATTACTTTTTAGTATTTCTAAGGAAAGAAGATGATCTATATGAAAGTGTTTCGTTCCTACAGCGTAACGCTATAATAATAATCGTTTACTTCTATTTTTTTTTATTTCTTTATTACGACGTAACACTATACGTTTAATTCTATTTTGTTGATTTTTTTATAACGATTTAAGGTTTCGTCAAACAGAAGGCGGCGCGGCGCGGCAGCGGAGCGGCGCGGTGATCAGTGCGCGTTGCATTCTATACAAAATGTATGAACGACGTCAAACAGCGCCGCCGCCGCGCCGCGCTGTCCCGCGCAGCTCTCTGTTAGACGTCGTTCATACATTTTGCTCCGCTGCCGCGCCGCGCCGCCTTCTGTTTGACGAAGCCTTTAGATTTTTATAGCTAGAATTTTGTTCTTTAAAACAGAATCCCGAGTAAAACACTTGTGTGTTTACTCAATAATCAGATTTAGAACTTGTTTCTTTTCTTACTTTGTTTAGTGTAATCGTTTGATAGGTAGTGATTAAGTATTCTCAAGTGGTATTTGTACTGAAAATAAAAGGAAGACTGATTGACTTACACAATTGTTTTATTACAATTCACATACATATTTTAGTCAAATATCCAACACTCTTTATAAATAGCATATCAAGTTAAGTATTCCTTCCTTTCCTTCCTTCCTACACTTGATAGTTACTAAACAGCGTGCCCAAGTAAATCCATAGCAATTGGAATACGGTCCATACAGTTTAAATTGTTAATGTATGTAATAGAGGAATGAAATATAGCTCATTTTTGTTTGTAGTTACTATAAACTTATAGCTGATACTATTGAAACTTATGATTTCTGTTGTACGGTTTCCATTTTGTACACCTGTTTTAAACATATTAAGATATGATGACTTAATAGGTAATTCGAAGATGTCAGATACATTTTCAATTCTGTACCCTTTGATATGTTCATTGGTTATTTCTGCCACTTCTATAATTTCTTCTTCTGTAGTCATGAAATACTTATCCTGTCTTTTATTAGAAATTACGAACTTACCAAAATCTATTATTTTTCTATTTTTGCTATCTGTATTTATGACAGGATATTGGATAGTTTCATTTTTCGCTTTATTTAATTTAGATTTAACATTCCAATCACTCTCTGTAAGTCTTTTAGCTATTTGTGATAATGGCATGTTGCCAGGTCTAAGTATTTTTTTATGCAGTACAGTTTGTTCTCAAAAGGGTAAGAATTAAAGGTGTTAAATGGTCCGAATTTACGAACTTCATCAGAAATATGTACCAAATTATGAATGTTGCTAGTAATGTAGTTACCATAATATGTTTTAAAGTTTTCTACGAAATATAATAATAATTCGTGGGAAAGGTCCAATATTGAGCTGTACTTTAGGCAAGAGCAAATTGTTACCCCACAGAAAAGAGTCAAAAAATGTTCATAGGGACCTTTCGACATAAAGTCAGGCAGAATAACAATACTCAGATAATAGAAAAATGACCGGAATTCAGATGCTTTCCAATGATGAAGCTCGCATGGATCTATGAATTTCGGAGGGTAGCTTACAGGTGAGTAAAAACTGTGTTACTTTCAGCGTATCGTCTGCTCGCCATTTTGTAGTAAGATTCTTAAAATTTCCATCACGCCATCCCACCAGTAATCGTTTCATAACTCCTAAGTCAATCAGATGTAATGAATCGGAAATAGGAAAATCTTCGATCATATCTATGGGTAATTTTAAAAGTGGTGTATCAGATTTTAGATGATCTCTATATTTATTATTTCTGAATTCTTCATTTGTTCTTTTAGGACATCTTGAGTTTGGAAACACGACAGTATAATACTGATGCGAGTATTCTCCTAGTATACGTACCGTAGTACATTTTAGGCATCCATGCCTAGAGTTAAAGTTGCATACACCTGAAAATGTAAAATATTTTCAATGAAGGATTGTAGTTTTATAGTAGTATTTGTAGTACGATCTACCTAAAAGACCTCTTTCTACACTAATATTATAAAGAGGAAAGATTTGTATTTGTGTGTGTGTGTGTGTGTGTGTGTGTGTGTGTGTGTGTGTGTGTGTGTATGTTTGTAATGAAGGATAGGACACCATGAGAACGAAGTCGCACCGGGAAGCTAGTTATTTATAAATTAATAGTTTCTTATGAATATTTTCACCACAAAATACGGAACGGATTACGGTGGCCACTCCAAATCGGTTTCGTTCGTGTTTTGAATAAAACGACGTTAATGCCAAAACTAGTTTTTACATATAACGTCTGTAATGTAAGTAACACGTTAAGTCATCATTTACCTTTTATAAATGCTCTCGCTGGAGAGTCGCAGATGAAGCACCTTATTCTCACATTTACTATATTTTCTTTGCCTTCTCTAAGTATATGAATTCCATTTTCAAGAAGACTTTCAGTTTCTGCGACAAAATCTTCTAAATACTGACTAAGGATCTTTGGTTTTCCTGATCCATAATAAATTCCAACTACAAGAGGCTCTATTTCTGGTTTTTCGTATATGTTGCAAAGAATTGGCCAAAATTCTTTTTTAGAGCTGTTGAAAATTGGTAAACCATCAAAATTCAAATTTAATTGTATAGATTCAGGGATTTCCAGCCATAAAAAAATTATTATATCTTTTAAAGGTTCAATAAGTCCTTTGTGCCAGTATTCTCCACCTTAATTTTTTTTTATTACAACATTTCTCTTAGTCTGTAATAATGTTCTCGGGTCTACTGGCAAAACTCCTGGCAATCTTTGATTGACGACAACTATTAATTCTCTTAAGGCTTCTAGAGAAATATTTTTATTTATGGCCCATTGTCTTAAGTTATTACGAAAGATTAAATTTTTTTCATATTCCGTTTCAGTTTTTTTAAAATTATTGGAACTCGCATCACTATCTTCAGACGTTTGAATTGATTCATAATCTTCGTATAATGTAGATTCATAATTATTTCTTACGGAACCCGTTTCTATCGATTGTGGTCGCACTTGATTTGTACTTGGATCAGATGAACTGGAAGTACTTGTTTCAGTCGTTTGTGTATTAGCACAAATAGAGTTTTTTATGTTTTCATACTCGCGCAAGCACTTTCTTCGTATGCCTCCTGTTCTTTTTCTATTTTGCCATGAATCCGAGATGTATTTTGTAGTGTTTGTTTTTAAACAGAGCGTGACACTGACACACGTAGGACAGCTGTTTTGTCTATGATAGCGAACCGCTTACGTCGGCGTAGCTGTCAAACTTCATTGATTGGGTTGGTAGCCTTGAGGGAAGAGTCGATTTTCCTATTCGACTAAAATATTCGCCTTGAGACTTATAAAAAAAAAAAAAAAAAAAAGTAATCAGGCGGGGGATCTCTGTGGGGGCGCGTGGATGAATGGATGGAGTTTGACAGTTGTTGAATTTTGAATAGTCTTTCCCAGATCGATTTGAGTCCTCATTATCGGGTGCTGTTTTTAATCGATTTTGAATTTTACTCGAAATTGAATTTCCTCGCTGATTTGGGTAGGTATTCCCTTTTCCTCAGCTTACGGCGAGCGTAGGTATATAGTTTTGAGTTTATTCTTCGGTTCGTCTCGAATGCGGCGGCTGTCTGTTTGACTGTGGCCTTTGCCTTCAGTTGAAGTGGGAAACAAATCATAGACACATGTTTGGGAGAAGACGATCCGTCTATCATCTATGAGCAATTGTCAAAACAACTTTTAAAATTTCACAATCTGTTTGTGGTACAGTTAACTTTTCATCTTTTCTTCTGCCCAAAGTATAATAAACGGCATATTATTGTCGTCGAAGTCGTGAGATAGATCCGAAAAGTTTATATCCCGAAGGATATTGGCGGAAAAAGCGCGGAGTCGCTAACCGAACTGAGTTTCGTAGGTGGACGAACACGAACCTTCGCAAGGCAATTGCAACAATAAGGCGGTAACTCGTGATAGGAAACAAAATACTTACGGATAGTTTCATATTTCGAACGGCTTGTACGTTCCCCTCAAGAAATACTGGAGGACTAACAAGGAGACTTTTGTTCTGTGCACGGACCAGAAGGGGCGCGGGAGTTTATTTGCCAGCCGCTCTCCGGTTTTATGTAACCCGGCCGAACAGCAGACAGATTATACACAGCTTAACCTATCATAATCAAGGTATTTCTCTACTAACCCCGGGTGAACGTGAAAAGGAAACAACAGGCGAGGTTGGACCCCGACTTACCCATTTCCATATATTTACATATATCTATATAGCTGGTTATCTCACTGAGAACTAGAATTAACTAAGTTTGTCACCAATATCGATCAAACGAGCCGTAGAACCTCTGAAATCCACTCAATAGCTTATTCAGTCTAGTCTATGTGGTATTTGTGGATAAAATATATTAGTAAGGATTATATTGTAAGTACATGGTAAAGTGTTATGAATGTTTGATATTCATATAATTATAACCTTTCATGACAACTTGTTGGTTTATATACACATTAACTTTGAACTACTGTATTCAGCTTAGATATTTATAATTAGTGAAACATAGTTATTATATAAATAATAAACATAGTTAGACTTGTTGATTTATATAAGCAATAACTTAAATCTACTGAAGTCCTAGGCTTTGGTATCTAAAGTGGATAAAATATACTTATAACATTATCTTAATTTTTTGGTTTTCTTTTATTGTTCCCCCGGTGCTCGGAGTAAGCTAGTAAAGAGCTGTGGAGGGGAATTTAACATGACATGTGGCGCCCGAACAAGTGGAAGCAAGGCTTTGTAGCATTTACTTTGCTCTTTTTTTTGGTCATTTTTGCTCAAAAAAGGTTGATCGATATTGGTGATTTTTTTTAGTTTTTCTTTTTTCTCTGAATTATTTGGCTTATATCCAAAGATTTGTTTATCTGGTTATACTGTGTTGTAGACATAATAATTTGTAACATCGGATGATCGATATTGGCTCAAAATTTACAATCAAAAAAGTCATATTTACTTTTTTTATACCCTTATTTAAAGGAAAAAAAAAAAAACCCTCTTGTGTACTGATTTTTGGTAGGTTAGTTCACCAACCTCACTTTTTTGAACCTAACAAGAAGAAACCTAACATTGAGAAACCTAATCCTTTAGAACCTAACAATTTTCAACCCTCAGGGGTGAAACCACACTTGTTACAACACTACTATTTTAACTGATATATCTTAACAGGTAGGTGATTTTATTATCATATTAATTACACTTTGTTATTGAACATTTCTTTATTTTGCCACACTAGGAGTAATTTTAACTTACAAAATGGAACAGAGGCCAATCACTTTTAACTTGTTACACAAAG